TAACACATGCTATAAATCACAGCAATTCACACACTTTACTTATGGTTCCTACTGTTCCCTTGACTCAATTATCTAACTCTTCAATCATGCTGGTTTTTCTCGCCAGGATTATGTACTAAAAAAGAGGGTGCCTCAAACAAACTTGGGCCTCCCTGATAATTCATGATCCTTCAAGAAACTCCAGCGAGCATGCTCCCAGCATCAGGCAACTTCTCCTGTCGTAACAGTATTGAGTCACAAGTAAGGTGCTGGTATTATCTTTCTTGTTATGACTCGATTGGTATATTCCTCTTCTAGACTCTGAAATAAACACACATATTTTACTCTCCTCCTACACAACCTTACCTGACTCATTACTACAATTATTAAGGCAAGAACTGATCCTTAATAATGCTCAGGCACACAATTCAACGACCCATAACTACCTTCAAACACCAGCAAGATAATAAGTTAAGGAAACTGCCTGCTGGGTGGTTTTCAAACTGATTGCAGAGATGCAGGCAGATGGTGTTAACTGTAAGGCCTCTCTTCCAGAACTAGGTAAGTCTGGCATGGTGGATGATCTAGCTAAACATATGAAACTAAGCCCACAACTTAAATATCTTAATGCTAGCAAAAAAGGACTACATATGACACAGCATATAAAAAAAAAAGGATCAAAACACACTAAAAGCAATAAAACAAGGACAAGCATAAACATGGAAACAACCGACACACGAACAAATAACACAAAAAATGAAGAACATGAAGCTCAACAAACATATCCAGCACAAAACCAAGAAGAACATATAATTACACAAACACAATATGCAAAGCAGAAAGAAGTACACAAAAATTCACAATTGCAACAAAAAGAAGTACATGAAGAGATACAAACACCTCCACTTAAAACAATGAAATTACATGAAGAAGAAAACGATATTATACAAGTTACATAAAAAAGAAACTCAAACAAAACACAAAACTCAGCCACAATATCTCAAGAAAAGAAACATATACACAACTACCAAAATATTCCATTATAATTCAAGGAGTTCCTGGCATACTTAAAGAACTACAACATGTTGCTGAAATCAAATGATGTAAGCCAGAAGTAAAACTTGTAGCAGTCAAATGACTAGCCAAAGGGGGTGTCCTAGTTAGAGGGACAGAGGCTGTTGACTGCAACAACCTTCAAAAATGACCCAAGAATGCTTTTGCACCCGGAAATATTACAATAAACATTCCAGGAACATGACCAAACCTTAATTCCTTTGTAGTAAAGGATATCCACACAAGGATAACAACAGAACAAATTAAAAATGAACTCGCACTAAAAGCATGAATTGTACAAAAACAGAATGAATTATCTCTGGTATCAGAAATTCAGAGTTTAACCCAGTGTTAATCCTGCCAATGATATGGACATGTAGAAGCAGCATATAAGCTCTTCCACATTGTGTGAGCTGTGGGGGAGAGCACAGAAATTCAGACTGCCCTAAAGAACACACAGAACCAAAACTGCCAGCAAATTACAAGAGATGTCCTAAGTATAGGGGCATCAAAATACAAATCTTTAATATACAAAACAATTCAAATCCAAGTGAAACATACACAGAATCTGAGAAAAACACCCTACTACCAACATCAAAAACTAAAGAAACAAGAACCACTAATGTACAGACTAATTTACACATACTCATAGGCAGCATGCACACAAACATAAAATCAAGAAACACGTATACAAATGAAGCAAACACAATCTCATCCCACAAGCATTACTACACAACAACAGGACTAACATACAATCCAAACCAGTCATGAACACACAGCTAACCTAATTATAGATGCAGTTAAAAACACTTTCTTTGAATTCATCACACAATACCGAAACCCAAAAATCAAGATGACTGTATCACATTATTCATAACTATAATTAAACAACATCTCACACCATTACTTACCTATAATACAAAACCCGTAAAACAAAACTACACAAGGCTAAAAAGCAAATTATCATCCACATCCAGACTATCTAATAATAGAAAGATGATAAAATTCATGGACATGACCCTGAAAAGGAAAGAGTACTAGAAACTACAAATGAAATGCAGTTAACAGCACCCAACTTACCATATTCAAGCCAAAAAATAACAGTATTTCAGGAGGGGGGGTGGAGAGGTTGAAGGAGTGCCTGACCCTCTCAGGTCTACACAAAGACCTATAGCCCGATGCTGAAATGATGATGACGACTTTGATATATCAAATTGAAAGATTACAGCACTTTCACTGTGTTGTTGGAGGTCTTGAAGACAACATACAAAAGAAAGGAATGATTCGCATGTTATGCTAAGCAAAGAGGAAACTGATTCACAACTGGAGTTGTTTTGATTCACAAATTATGATGCATACCTGTATATATTGTCCCCTGAATTTTGCATATAACACTTAATAATAATAATACCTATAAAGCTTATTCAATTTTTATTCAAATGCACAAAGTATTTAATCCTGTACCTATGATTTTTAAAATGGAATGTTTTAATATTTGTATTTTCATTTGTTCTTTAACCATAAAATGTTTTATGAATAATGGACAATTATTTGCTATCACTATCGCAAAACAAACAAAAAAATGAATATTTTGATAGGTTTGTAAAAATGTGTTTGCTGTTACCCTCATGAAAATGATAAAAGAAATGTTTTATAATAAAATAATAATTAATAGATTGTGCCAAATGATTTGAATGACAAACTTGTATTGTACCAACTGTCAATGATAAAGAAACAAGTGTATTCCATGTGATTTAAGGTTTTATATTTTCCATTTTAAATGCACTTAAAATATGCAAAGAATATTTAATGGCAAATATATATTTGTGTTGTGTGTATAGTGATAGTATAATAACATGGATATTTCATAGGATGAATTATGGAGTCAAAATGTACCCTTACCATTTGTTTGAACAGGCAGGAGGTTCCAGTGGGCTTTTAATGGACTTAGCAGCTAATGAAAAGTCTGTTCATGCTGAATTTTACAACAGTAAGTAACTTTAACTTACAGTGTGCTGTCATGTTTCAAGTTAAAACAATTTTCTAGTCACATCATTGAAGTCAGTTATGTACAATACCATAAAAAAAAATTTTCAGCATTATGTATTAGCATTATTTTCAATTAATCATAAACAAGTTTTTACAGAAATTTCTAACTTAAAGTGTGTATGTTTGTGGAAATATAAAGATTTAATATTACAGTTAAAATAGTGTATGAAATTTTTGTAAAGAATTGAATATATTGTTCATGAGATTATTTTATATGAAGCATAAACTTGGCTATTGAAAATAAGTGTGATGGAGTATCACAATAAGAGTGATACTGATTTTAAACTGTTTATTCTTTACTGGCTCAGCACAGGCTCCAAGTAAGAAGAGTGTATAATTGCATTGTGACTGTAAGGTTTTATACAACTTAGGCTAAAGTTAGAATGATGTATTTTGCTCAGTATAAGCCAATGTATTACTCTTATCAATTGTGACATTTAATCACAATTAACTGCCTACTAGAGTTTATATTTTGTGATCTTTGGTAGTATACAAAACTTATTTGACTATTGACACACTTTTTTCACAGTTTATTTCTATGTGCACAGGGTTAGTTCATTGGATCATGCCAGTATTGAAGAATTAATATCAGAATTTTTAATAAAGTATTTTTACTAAAGATCTGTCTTTGACTTTACTGAGTTATTCTGACTCGGGCTCTGAATAATTTAGTGCAAGATGTTTTTCATGTTAAGAATATAAATACTCTTTTTTTTAATCTTGCAGTTTTAATATTTCATTTGCATAACCTCTAGAACTTCCCAAATGATTATCAAAAACTTTTACCTCTTATTTTCTCTCCTGTAATACCAATTTTAGTGAAATCAGCATTGTTGAAAAAAACTTTTCAGATATGAAGGTCATTTATAGTTATTATTATTTTTTAGCTGCACTTCGAGTATGGTAAAAGCAATTATCACAGTGGGGCAGCTGTGCAAATAAAGGATTGAGTTACCAATGTGCACAGTCAAATTACAATCACCTTAGCACAATCACCTCGTTGTGAATGTGCTATCATGAGTATTTTGTTGTATTTAATTTTTTTTTCACTAAAGGTTTGTTATATAACTTAAGTTTTAGTTTTTGCATTTTACTTATTCTTATAACAAATAAAAAATGTACATAAAAACTAATTTAGTATTTTATGTGTGAGTTGTAAAGTTTTTGCTTTCAAAATCTTAAAAGTGAACCAAGGCTGTAACAAAGAGCGGGTTTTAACCTCTGAAGGTTCATAACACAGTACCAAATGAATGATCCAGAAGGGTCTTCATTCAAAAATAAACTAGTAATTATGGTTACACCATCACTAAATTAAGCAAATTAGTACTACTGATGGTCTTTTTACATGTAGTACATATGAACAAAATAAAACATTCACATGTAGTTGAAAAATGTGTTTTCTAGTTCAATAACCATGTTTTTATATTTAAAAAAAAATTACATTGTTATTCACTAGTATTTGATTCTACATGCAGTATTTGTATAGCTACATAAAGTAAGCTTACATTACAAGATCACCATATTGCAGCTAATTAAAAGAACTTCAGCGGACTTAAGCAAAACAAGTTTACTTGACAGTCTCATAGTCTTTTTAACATAACATTTTTGATTAATTGAACATACCTAATAAACAGTAAAATAGACAAGAATAATATAGGTTACCAGCTATTTTCTACAGGTGCCTTAAAACTGATTTTTGTTTCACATATCATTTTGAGGAGTTTTGAAGGCTTCATATTATAGGTAATTCTATTTGTTAGGATGAAATTGATGTTATATCGCTAACTGAGTGGTGAAATTTGAAATAACTATTTTTTTTAGCATGATCCTTATTCTTCAAAAACTGATTGAGAAATGTATATTTAAAGCTTTTACAAGCAACATAATTATCAGATAGAAGGCTCTAACTAGTATGGCATTCATATTAATGACTGATTTACGATTCTGGATCATTCAGTTGAAACTAGTATAAGTTTGTAGTAAAGAAAAATTGAAAAACAAGTATTGTATTATGAATCCAAAATAACAACATATTGTTTGTATTGAAATTACAAAAAATGTTTATATATCAAACTAATAAGAGTTAATCATTACTTTGGGTTATATCTATGAAAAAGTTGAGCAATTTGAACATTAACAAAGCTTTATGATTAAGTTATAAACTCATAAGACAGTTTGGATGAGTTAAAATTCAGTGTTCATTCAAATGCTTATTTATATCCTGTAAACACACTGCACTAGCAGTTTGCAGATATATCTACACTCATATGTACATAGTGTATAATGATAAATTATTCAGCATCACTGTCAGATAAATTTTCATCCTTTTCACTGACACTATTCATGTTTTTCACAACTTTCTGCACTGCCTTCACATAAACAGATAAGTGTGCAACTTCGTCCCACCTTTACACATCTGCACAGTCTAGAAGCATATTTTGATTCATGGCATTTACACATCATCAGTTCTCTATTTTTCTTGGTGCTGACTCTTGAGTCATGAGTTCTAGTTTCAGATAATTTTTTGATCTTTTACAACCATGTCCACATGGTCCATCAAGCCGTGTCCTTGCCATTAGAGATCTTTTTCAAACAACACTTTAGTAGTTTTCACTCTTAATATGCTACAGAAAGCTACTTTTACAAGGTGGCAAGCTTTTAATTTAGTACTGGCTTCTTACAAAATATTTCATATTGTAAAGTATTAACGTTTTCAATGCCATTGTTTAGCTGGTATAGTGTACAAACATATTTTTCACAAGCATCAGTTAACTCAAAGAACTCACTCAGCTTTGATAGTGGTAAGTATTTTCTCATGTTATTTCTAATCATATGTAGCTCCTCCTTTTTGTCTTTTCCCTTAAAGAAATTAGAGTTATTACACCCAGTTAATATATGGAATAAGTAGGGAGCACATGCCTTTTCCCAGTTTTGCCACAATAGTGTGACTGGGAGTAAATTGAATGCTTCTTTTTGTACCTGTCATGAACCACATTTGAATACTTTTCTCACTAAAGTATATTCCCAAACTCAGAACATCCATATCAGGAGACCATTTATTGGTTATGTTAAATCTTATCTTTGAATCAATAACGTATAACAGTAATCAGGAGTCTGCTTCCTCTAGTGTTGAATACATGTCATTCAATTTCTCAACTCTGTTACAAGTAATCAAAATAACTCTCTTTGGTTCTGAAACCCTCCTGATAATGCTAAATGTGGGTTTTGGCTGAGTAATTTTGGCATACTAGATAATCATTGATTGAAGGCAAAGACCTTCATATTATCCTTGTTCTTTGGATTTGTAAGGTAGGTCTTCACATTTCATGACAGAATTTGCTGTTATGAATAAGTAAGTATTCGTGATGATCTTTCAATATTTCCATGCCTTTTTCTCTGTGTCCAGCTTTTATAGATTTCTAGATTGTATCTATGAGATAAGACATGGACGGTATTACCCTCAACTGACTCTTGATGAGATTTTCTGAACTTGTGCCATGTGGCCTGTGAATACTGCCATTTAATTTTTCTTGCCTCTTATATTGGTCATGAAGTCTTTGGGATACAAAATAGATGCTGCCTCAGTCCCTATATTTCACATGGTCTGGACTTTGTTACTTTTGAATAATGGTCCATTCTCTTCTGCTATGGCTAATGGAGTACCGGATAGTTCATATTGGAATAAATGCTAAAGATTGATATTTCTCTATTTGGAAATTACTACTAGCCTTCTGAAAAGGTCATGGTCTGGTTTTACAGAGCTAACTTTTCCTTGGTATTTAATATTCTTTCTGGAAATGGTGGTGAAGGTTTGGGTTTTACCCTTTTGATTGGTACAATGATTAGTGTTGAGCTGATATTTAGATGATCTTCTACAAATTCAATCATGGCCTTTCTCCTAACTTATTTAGAATATAGCAAATTCTAGGTAACATCAATTGGACTGATTATTCCTGTAGCAATATTTTTTCAATGATTCTAGTTCTTCCTTATCAGAATTTAAATCTAGCAGTAACCAACTGCAAAAGCAATAAATTATCTAATTTCTGTAGTGCATATTGGTGTATAGTAGACATTTTAATACTAGAAATAAATGACCTTATAACACCAGATTGTTGTTTTTCTATAATTAGAAAATCAACATTTTGTTTTACAGCTTCTTCAGGAGTGTTCCACTAAAACACAAACCATAACTGACCTTGCAAAGTTTCAGATGGTTTAAATAATAATTTCTAAACGAATCTATAGCTTGACTTTCTGCAGTGTGCATTTGACATATTAAGTAGTAAAGCTTATTGTTGAAAGAAAAGCATTGTTCAAATAATTAACTGTTACCTGTAATAAACAAAAGTTCTATCAAAGTTACAGATTGAAATAACAAAAAAGATAGGATGAAAAAATAAAATAATAAACATTATAAGTGCCATCCTTTGTCCATATTCATCTGTGGTCATAGTTGTTCGATGAGAAGAGCCTCTTTAAATTTCCTGTCAGTGTACTTGGTGGCTTTGGTGAGGATTTGTATGGAGAATGGTGGTTTCAAGTCAGGTGTTACTTGTCCATGATTAGTTAAAATATGATCTGCAACTGCACTTATTTCATGTTGTTGCTTATAAAGAGAGTCAATATGTTTGCCTATCCTTGAGTTTAGTGTTATTTCAGTTTCCCTTATGTACATATGATGGCAGATGTTACATGTTATGAATAAGTAAGTATTCGTGATGATCTTTCAATATTTCTAGGTAACAAAAGTAAACAACATTGGAGACAAGACACTCATCTTTAGATTGCAAACACATTTTTGTAAGACAGTGGGCTTTGTTACATTGCAGGATAGTGTACTGAGAATTTGAAAGTTGGCTTTTTAGGGTTGGACCTGGCCGCCATTCTATAACTTTAATCGGTAGTTCATATTTCCTGATTATAGTTTTATTTTCTTGGAAATAGCTTTGTCAGTTAGAAGAGTTATAAAAATTATCTTTATTGAGTTATCTTTGGAAAATTGGGTTTTTTCCTTCTTGTTTATCTGTGTTTTTTCATGTTGGAAGTGCGATGCTGATTTTTTTGCATCATAGTAAGCTTTACTACTTAATATGTCAGATGCATTCTTTAGAAATGCACACTATAGATTCAATTAGAATTTATTATTTAAATCATTTGAAGCTTTGTACAGCCAGTTATGGTTTGTGTTTCAGTGGAACACTCTTGAAAAAGCTGTAAAGCGAAACACTGAGTGTCCAGGTAAAGAAAAACAACAATTTGGTGTTATAAGGTTATTTATTTCTAGTATTAAAGCAATAAATTATTAATGTCAATATCTTCTGAATGTCTATTTCATCCTTGAAGGTAGCAGATGCCTTTGTTTTGGAATGGACACTTTCTTTCACAGCATTCAAGTCACACAGTGTTTTGAAGTTTTTGAGTATATAACTACATTTGTGTGCTGTTAAGTAGCCCTTCATAGTTGCCTTTTGTTGCTTGCTAAATCTGATAATACCTCCTTGCTTTGAATTTGAGGCCTTTAATACAATATCTTCAAGGCCGAAATCAAACCAGATGCTGTTAAATGCTCTTGATGTTGATCTTGTTGCCACATATTTTCGTACTTCGAACTCAAGGATAATACTATGAACAGTTTCAGGAAGGTCCCCAGTGGATTTAGTTTTGTTAATCATACACAGAATTACCCCAAAGCATTTAATATGGCTGTTCCAGTCTTGGTATACTTTCAGTTGCAATATATTTAAATCCGAGTCCAACGTCATTTACGTATTGCTTTCAAAAGACAAATGTTAGTTTAGCTTTCTGTCAATACATATACCTGTATTCTTGTAATTTGAAGTGATACTGCACGTGAATGCATGTTTATCAGGACCTGTGTTTTGGGTTGACAGCAGCAATTTCATGTCTGTCTGAGCTTCTACACATTGTTGTTCCAGCTTAGGAAACATGTAAACTGTATCCTGCACATCACCTCAAATATAAGTTTATGTACAAGAGTACAATGATTAGTTTCCACCAAGAGGTCTTCATTTGAAGATGAGTTGTACTGCTTGCCCAGGATTTTCAAAAATAGCACCATGATATGAAAACCATCTAATCAAATAATGTGATGTCCGAGTTCATCCCAGTTTCTTAATTGTTTTTCTTGTTTAATTATGTAAAGTTGCAAGTCCAATGTTGTAATGGGAACTTGTTGCTCAATTGACTGCATTTGTTGTTCAGTTATCTTCAAACTAGTGTATATCACATTCCATTGGATGAGTATATCCTGTACAGCTGGGTGGTATTCTGTTGTTGTCTGATTTTGTTTTTCAATGAAATTTTAACATAGAATAGTGTAAAGTGTGAAATCCCTTCCAGCTTGGAATATGTTGTTTGGCAGCATTTGGCTTGAACTGAAGCTCAAGGATCTTAGTGGAACACTGGTAAGCAACTATCGTACATCTATTGAGAGAGAATTTAAATCTTTCCTGTACAATCACAACTCTGCAATTCTTTTAAATCTGTTTGGCATTCAAGAATTTCCCTACTTGAAAGATCTTTGGTAGATTTTCCTCTTACATCTGTATTAAGTGATTGAGGACCTATGATCTTTACATTTTTTTTCTATTCCAGATATATGAGACTACAAAGATAATTTTTTGGAATGAGCTAACCTTACAGAGAATTCAGTAAAGTAAAACCTTTACTTTCTATTGGTTATAAGTAATCCAATAACAAATGTCAGAGAGAATTATTAATATTTTTTTGAAAGATGGATGTGATATGAGGGTGTGACATGCAAGTTTCACTTTCTTGTTTATGTTTCAATGAAGCAAGAAGATTGGAGGCTAAAAATTTACATTATTTTTTAGCAATATATATATACTGTGTGTAATTTGTGCCAAACTCAGAAAATCATATAGAGATAGAGAAAGAAAATCTAAAAATGGGCACTTTGAAGTGAAGAAGCAATACATGATATAGAGAAGTGAAGATTGAGAATTTATTTAAATATTTCATTTTAAAATTAGATCTTGTTTAATATTAAAACTGGAATTATAAACTACATTTGTATGTCACATTTATTTGTATACATTAATAATAAAGTTGTATAATTCACTTTGAGTATAACTGTAATAGATTGTGACGTGCACTTTGATACCCGACTGTGTACAAACAATTATTCAGTACATTTTTATTTTTCTTGTGGTAGAATCATCAAAGTTTGTTACTTGATTTTGAAATATGTGTTAAGTCAGTTGAGAAGAAGTTACACCCTCATAATTATTTACATTTTTTTATGTGATGTAGCAATAATTCTTATGCAGATTTTTACTTTTTTAAATGAATTATTATAACTAATATTGTTACAGAATAATTGTATTGACTGAAAAATGTCATTATCCGAGGACATTTATTTTACATGTAATGGGTTCATATTGCATATTGTTTGTTTAATGGATCTTAAGCTAATTTAGTTCAGCACTTGAAAACTGTATTAATGTAATTTAGCTCTTGTCTGAATTGTAAAGACTGCAAGACATGAGTTGACAATACTTGAAAATAGACGCAAATGAAACAGTCAATTTGAATACTTATTTTTTAAGTGACTTATACTTTAATAAAAATGTTTGCATTTATTTCACAATTTAAAAGAAGAGTGATCATGCAATTTTTTTGTAAAATATTTAACTATAGTAAAAAAAAGTTACATGAAAATATATAAATCCACATTTAACTTTGTTGTCTTCTAATGTATGCAAATGAAGTTAGTACTGTGATTTAAAACCATAATTTACCTAAAAAACTTCCATATGTGTGATTATGCTCTTTAAAGAATTGGAGGAAGAACACTTGACATTTTCATTATCATGGCAGATTCATTATCTGTTATTAAAGAACAGATAATAACAATAAAATTTAGTTGTTTTTTGTAATATAAATATTATAACTTTGCTAATGTGAACTTTTATCCATGTTTTCAGATTTTGATGACCTGTTTGATGATGAAGATCTAGAATAACACTTGACACAGTGAAAATAAGAAAATGAGACGTTATAGATATTGTAAGAAATTTTTGTTCAATCTTTTGTGTTATTCATATATAAATGTATACCAGTATGGTTCCTGTTTACTTGTATATACTGAACTGTAAAAATAAACATCTTATGTTGAACAAAAGTAGAATTAAGGCTGCTGTGAAGTGACTGCCACAAATGTATGTAATTCTTATTTAATTTCAGAATTTGTTGGATTCCTTAACATGCATTGGCTGTAACACAGGAACAGGGGCATCAGATTAAAAACATTTTTGAATTATGTATGATCATTGATAGATAAGCTCATGAATTATTTCTGTCATGTTGTATTGAAGCCATTCTCTTAGACAGTAGATAATTTCCATTCAAACTGGACACCGAGGAGTTTAATTTCTGAAATTTGTTCTGTGTGGAAACATTCTAAATCATTTCAACTAAAAACATTTGGCACTGATCTCTTTTAAAGTCCAATTTATATACATGATACTTTCACAGGTATTGAGCTTTATAAGAAATGTACTTTACAAACTGATTTCCATGTGTGTGTGATTTTTTTCTTGTTAGGAGATTGGAGGGAAACCATTTTTTAAATGGTTTTAATATCTATTCTCTGACTATTAGGGTATTAGAGAAGCAAATAATAACAAAAAATAAACTGTATCAATGTATGCTTCAGTATTTCTTGAAAACACTAAAACTTCATTAATAGTAATACTAAAAAAAAAGTCAAAATAATAAGACAGAGATTTCCAAACTGGGGGCATGGGAGGTTGCAGTATATTCAAAAATAGACACTATTATAACAAAAATAAGGAGTTGATTATGAAGAGAGAAAAAAAGGCAACAGCAACCTGATTGAAAATAAGTTATTGAATTTGTATGTGTTATGTAGTAGGGGGTCTTCAATCAGAGTGCCTATTGTCATGGAGGGCTTTCACCTGAGCTAAGAAAGTTTTGGAACCCTTGTAGTAGGACACTTTTACAGACATCAGTATCGGGTATTGTGACATACTGACTGAGTATTCTCACAGATGTGTTTCAGGTATTGTGACACATCTGTGGCTGAGTATTCTCACAGACGTGTATCGGGTATTGTGACATACTGACTGAGTATTCTCACAGATGTGTATCAGGTATTGTGACACAGCTGTGGCTGAGTATTCTCATAGCCGTGTATCAGGTATTGTGATACATCTGTGGCTGAGTATTCTCACAGACGTGTATCAGGTATTGTGACACAGCTGTGGCTGAGTATTCTCACAGACGTGTATCAGGTATTGTGACACATCTGTGGCTGAGTATTCTCACAGACGTGTATCGGGTATTGTGACATACTGACTGAGTATTCTCACAGATGTGTTTCAGGTATTGTGACACAGCTGTGGCTGAGTATTCTCAGACGTGTATCGGGTATTGTGACACATCCGTGGCTGAGTATTATCAAAGACGTGTATCGGGTATTGTGACACATCTGTGGCTGAGTATTATCAAAGACGTGTATCGGGTATTGTGACACATCTGTGGCTGAGTATTATCAAAGACATATATTGGGTATTGTGACACATCTGTGGTTAAGTATTCTCAGGGACATGTATCAGGTATTGTGACATATCTCTGGCAGAGTATTTTTCAGACAAGTGTTTTTATCACAGACAAAATATTCTAATTATATGTTATTCATAGATCCAAAATGTTTATTGTGGTTTATGAATAATGCCTAAAATGATGCAATTGAAAACAACAGTCCATACATACACCAGTAAGTGTGCAGGTACGATAATTGAAACTTCAGTTTGAGTCTGCTAGCGGATTTTATTTGTACAACAGTAGTTGTGTGTTAAACATTCTTCAAAAACTGTTTGTTATGTATGTTGTAGGTAGCTACTGAAGAATCCATAAGATGAAATATTTAGAAGTAAACAAATATTTATTTGGAGAAAGAAATTGTTGGTGTAATGACTATGTTAAATAGGTCTAAAATGTGTTCATGTTCACAGACTTGTATGAAACTGAAGTACAACTGCTTGTTTTTGATGATTTTATACTACTTCAAATTATGTATATAAACTGAGAAAGAGAATTGCAGTAGTGATTAAAGCTATATAAAACATCTCTGGTTTGTGTTATATACTTTTCTTTGCATTTATTAAAACATAATATACTTGAATTTTCCTTATGGTTAAGGTATTATAGTTAATGTTACTTTATTACCTGAAAATTAACAACTATCATTATGATAAACCTACTAACCATGACTGCAGAGGAAAAAAACAAAACACGTGCAGTAAGTAGCAAAGAATGGAAGTATTTTATTTATACAATTACTGTTTTATTGAACAAAATTTTTGGATTATTTTTGATGACATAATTAAAAAAATAGACATCCATAATAATAAGAAATTAACTAAAGCTATTATTCTACTTCAAGTTACTGTACAGTTCAGATGTTCAACTTCAATAATATCTTGCACAATGTTAAGGTTTTGTATTTTGACCAAAGATAAGCACTTAGAATACAGGATGGATCATAGATAATGGGACTGCAAAATGAAATGCAGTCAGACTGTATCCAGTTAACATGCCATAAACACATAAAGTATATAATAATGAAATAAGACAGTTAAAAAAAAAGACTCATTTCATCATAGCAACTTCTGTTGCAATTACTCCAGTACTGATTGAAAAAAAAAACATATTTATTGAACATCAGGGTAATATTACTTTTGGGTCACCCTGCATATTGCCCACAATTTTACCTGTATTTTAAAATATACAGTTTTTTAGATCTTTTCTTAATTCTATAAAAATGAAGAGGTCAAAATTTCTTATGACCTACAAAGCTTATTCAAAGATTTTATTGTACATGTTTTAAATTTATGTGACTATGTATTATCTTTCATTTTTGCAGAGAGGTATCACCAAAAATATAATAACAGAAACAACCTGCCTGATCAAAGAGGCTTATAATTCTACAAACGTAGATAAATATTGATCAAAGAGTAATTGCAAAATGGGACAGATAAATAATAACAAATGCATAATATTCAGTTTCTGCTTCTGGAAGATTTAGATAAAAGTTATTGGACAAAAAAAAAGTTTGACATGACTGATATATATCCAAGTTGGAAAATATTTTTTATTCCTGTATAGTCAACAAAAGTTTTCTTGCGGTAGTTACTTAAAACTACATTCTTCAAAGCAATATAATTCTTGTAACATAGTCTCTCCTCCCTAGATACTCTCCAAAAAATGCTAATGCTAGTACTATAATTTATCTAAAGTTATAACCCTGATCATATTGGAGAAGAAGGCATAAATATGACTTGGGAGAAACATTTAGACTAAATACAATTGGGCTAGCATACATATAGATTGAAAATAATTATTTAAAACTAAGAGACAAATACAGAACATGAATGTTTTATGTCTTCACAAGGCTGAGAACTGGGGCAAAACTTACAAAGGAAAAAAATTGCTAAATATGGTATGCACATGTCACGTGATTATGAATCTATTTTGTTTATTTTCAAGTTAAGATAGGTTTACAAAGCCTCAGTTTTTGCAGTGTACTGAATCCAAGTAGAATGTTTTCAGACACATTACTACAACAATTCAACAGCTGACTTATGAAACAAAATAAATAATTGGCATATTTGAAGTAAAAGTAATCTTATGGAAAGTGATGGGAACCAACAGCTTTCAAAGAACTCCTGTAGTTTAAAATTTCGCATAATTATTTTCTTTTTTAATTATCGAAGTGTAATATTTTCAAAAACTTATAACCACATGAAGAGCTTGCATGTTTCTTAGGAAATTACTAGGTTCTAGCTAACTTTATACATTCATTTGAACAATGTTTTTGAAATTAAATATCTAGGTAATGAAAAATAAAATAAATTGTGTGTCTAATTATATCATTATTACTTTTGTAATGATAAAATATTTAGAAGATAAAAATTCACAAAATGACATAACAGTATACAAAAGATTACTAAAAACAACTAGAATTTTTATTTAGTATTAAGATTACGGATGGGAAGAAAGGCTTCTTTAGAGGGTATCATGGAAGTAAATATTTATTACAGCTTGTATTAGAATATTTTTTTTTCCTTAATTTTTCTATTTGAAGAATCTATATCAGTATTTCAGAAAGAATACATACACAAATATATGACAAAAAGTTTGATTTTAAGTGTATATCAAACTTTCTGTACTTGGCCACTTGACTGGGTAGGAAATTTCTGGAACTTCTGAACACAAGGTATAAAAAACATCATCAACCCACTTAGGGCTATCATAACCCCAGAGACATAGAATCCAGGGTCATAAGAGCCTGTTCCATCATACAGCCATCCTGTAATAACACAGATCACTGAAATTGTACTTGTAACATTTTCTTAAATACACAAAGTAATTCAAAAGCTTTCAGTAAATCAGCATAATTCAATTCAGTGGAAGATACAATATCATCCCACGATGCAATCACCTTAACAAAACATTTGTTCCTTGAAAAATCATTTTAATATACGTTGTTTATGGCTGTATGGGTTCAAGCTTTTTATTATGATCTTGTGGAACTTAGATAAAAGAATGTGTACAATGAATGATACATATTTTATATATATGATTATACTGTAGTTTTATATCCATAAAAAAACAAAGATTAAACTACAATCAATTTTGTTCTCTGGTGGTTAACCATCTAGGGATAAATATATTCTCAACAGGTAAGTGTACACATATATTAATCAGTTTGGAAAGTTATGATTACTGATTAGCAGAAAACTATGGTTTAATTAGAACATGTAAGATTCTTTTTTTTTTTTTTTTACTATGGTGATGACCCATAAGTAAACAATAACAACATAAAAATATTTTCAGAGTAACTGAACAATATATATAGACATATACAATATATTTTGTAGGTTAAATCAAAACAGAGATCTGTAACAAGACAATTAATTTAATACAAAACATTCACAATTGAGGGCTTTTAGTCTATAAGTGCCAGTTGTAAAATCTATAGCTATCACTGATAGGGTATTATAATTATAAGGAGCTATCCTGGCTTACAAGTCATAACCTGGTACTCTGCAAATATCCCATAAAAATTAACCCTTAGTTTGGAAAACTTAACAGCCAGCCATAGAAGCTAATCGGTTTGAAAAAACTCCATAATTGTATCTTTGGAAATGTTATCATTAACAGCACACTTGTAATTTCTGTCTACCTCAGGGTCCATCTGATGAGAAGAAGAATTAACCTTTGCTTGAAGAAAACTATGCACTCTCAGCATATGGACAGCGGTGGCATTACAGGAGGCATTTCCCCACCCAAATTGTTTTCTCCCCCCCCCCCCCCAAATTCTTGTGTATAACAAGAAAACAGGTTTGCATACACATTACCATTTTACAGGATTTTTTTTTGTATGCTAAAAGTCAACTAGATATATCCTACAATAATAGGTATTCCCTTTAATCCTACATTTTTTATATTAATGGTACTACTGAACTAAATAGTTATTTATTTAATTACATAATGCTCAAAAAGAACATTATTCATCAGTTCACTTTGAAAGGGACTTGTTATCACCCCCCTACTCTTCCCATACAAAACAAAATTGGTAGATATGCTATAATAGCCAAAAACCCTTTACGAATCCCTTTAAAATTACACGTGAGTACGAGATTTCTTGTTTTGACCCCAAAATTCTACCTAGAGAGGACAGAATACTATCCATTCTCAGCTTTGTTAATGAAAAAAAAAACAGTACAGCAAAAGTTTGTGATCACACTGTTCAGGTGAAAATTAAAATGTGTACATGCGAAATGGTATTTTAAAAAAATATTAAGAAGAGGTTTGATTTGTTCTTAGAAAATTGATAAGACTTTTAATACTGGCAACTTTTAGTAGCAGAAACAGATTTTAGTTAAACCTGTGTTTCACTTGAAACTTATTTCTTATTCAAGTAAAAGAAAATTATGTCAGAAGCTCATATTATTTGTTGATATTTTAACCATTCAACAATTTAAATATTTTACAGCTAGTTGTGTCACTATAACATATTTCTAATGGGAAAATTATTAAGGTTTGAATGTTTATGTTAACCCTTAAGATTAGATAATCCTTCTGCAAATTACTTATTGAAATTGATTCTAATGTAAATACCATGCATCAAATTAAATTTTTGAAGCACAGTATTCATTGTACACAAGTATGTGTAGATAATTATTCAAAATGAAATAACTGTTAGAATCCTGAACACTAATTATAAGACATGGGTGAGGTTTTTGCCTCCATTTGTTTTATTTAATTCACAAGCTTTTGATAACAATATTAGAAACCACCTGTAGTTTGAAAACCTAAAGATAACTACTAAAGTTGTGACCAAAAGCTTGTGAATTAAATAAACATTCATGTCCTTCTGTACGTTTATATATCACTCATGTGATGTCTTCACTATTATCCATATTGTAATTGTTACAACCCTTATTTTTATATATAACATGCAGAAAGCTAGGAAATGGGGTTAAAGCTCATTCTTAGTGCTGTTCTGCATGTTGTCCAAAATCATTAACTGGAAATTATATGACAAGTTTATGTGCACTGCAGTCATGCAAAGGGACTGCTATCTCATGTACAAAGTTAAGTGGTCTGTTGAAGTCATTATTTCTTCATTGGTGTTATATAATGTCTCTTGAGGAGCTTTATCAGACAGAACAAAAATTATGACTTGTATAAAAACTCACCTGTTATTGGAGGGCCTATAAGAGAGGCAACTCCTTCAAAAACAAGAAGTAAACCAAAGGCATTTGTCAGTTTATCCAAGCCAAGTAGATCCACTAAGATGACAGATGTAAGACTAACGTATGCACCTACAAAAATAACTCACAATTTCATATTCTTAATTACAAAGAAAAGTAAAAATTAAATTGACCTAGGTTCCATTATCATTAAAGCGTTAGAATGTCTATATTCTTTATTGTAATGTCAATTCTTTTGCATTTTATATCATCATTGTGTATATTTTAGATAAGACTTGTCATTTAATTATATATTTTGTAATGAAATAAGAATAAAGAAAAGTGAAACAACATTATAAAATTGCTGAAATACATTTTACACACCAAATGAAATATATTTTTTGACTCACCTGCTGTGGCACCAAATACTGCAGCATAGACAGCCATCAAAATGTAAGTATTAGAGAAAGAACTTAGTGCAGTGGAAATACCACAGAGTGTCAGACTACAGTTGTACAACCACAGCCGATTCACCCAACTCTGGTCAGACAGGTAACCTAAAATCACCCGACTTGCAGTATTGGCAATTCCAATGACTGAGAGTAGAAGACTAGCATTTTCATTTCCTGCAATACCCAACCTTATGGCTCTGTCTTTGATGTACACATAAGGAACATTAAACCCTATGTTTGTGAAAAAATTGGAAAGCCCAAACAAAAGAAAAACAAGATTTTTAAGAAGGGAAAAATCCATCATCTCATGGAAAGCATCTCTCATTTCTTTAGGGCAATGAAAGCACTTGAGTATTTTCCATTCTTCTTTTGTAGGAATCTCCTTAGGGATTGACGTAATACTTGTAGTATATACTGCTGAGGAAGAGTGAAATTCAGGAATTTTGATAAGACTTCCACTGTAGAAAATATCCTTCCGGTATAAGACCCCATGATGATGATGGTGTTTGTTCTGATGGTAGTTACTTTGCCTGTTATAGATTCCAGAAATTTTTTCTGGTGATGGTGATCCTACCCTTGGAAAAGCACTGTTTCTGCGCTTTGCCACCAGCAGATCCTGAGGTGAAAATCTTCCTTTTAAGTAAGAACTTGTAACAGTCAGATCTGGGTGGGATTGGACAGGTTTTAAGGTGTTCCCATCAACATGTAGGCTGTGTTTGGTTTTCAGTTGTGCTTCATTATTTGTGTCTATATTATTCATAATGTTATCTTTTGATTGTTCACAAAGTTTTTGTGATTCTGATTGAGAAGCATGAATTTGGGTGCAATTTTTTTTTATTGATTTAATTCCTTCCAAAGGCCTGAAAAGTGATCCAAAAACACTGCAGTTGAGCAGTAGACCTGATATAATCATCATGGCACCTTTCCATCCATAATATTCTACTAACCATTCGGTCAGTGGTGCTAGAGCAAAGGTTCCAAATCCAGAGCCACAGACAGCAATTCCGGTCGCAAATGCACGCTTTTTTTCAAAATAACATGTGACACAAACAATAGCAGGAAGATACATCAGACCTATTCCAGCTCCTGAAAGACAAAAACAATAACTTCTGTAGATAGAGAATTGTATTAAATTATTTCTTTAAAAAGTATTTTATCACTATTCTTTCCTGTAAATTTGAATTTGATAAATCCAAAACATTTATTTTTGATGGAAAAACTGGATAATGTAATGCTGTTTTTATGTTTCATTTCTGTAAACTTACTGTATATTTATTTATTTAAAAGTATGCATGAGACAACTTCACTAGTGATATCTGTCCTAAGAAGGTGACTACATAAGCCATAGCGATGTTTTTAATATGAGGTCTAAGATTTATGAAAGCATAATGTTGTATTTCATTTTATTTTGTGATATGTAAATATGCATAATTCTGGTTCACAGAAAAGTTATAAAATAAAGGGAAAATGCAACTGTATTATTCATGAGCTGTGTTTGTATCATACAAGGCCTACAAAGTGAAGTTAAAAAAATCATTTGGTGCCATGATTAACTGGGGGAACCTGACATAGAAAAGTACAGCCAACCATTACTGGGCATGTTATGTTAGTCTGTTAACGGAATGCACAGTAATTCTATCTGTAGAGTGTTATTATATTTAGTTATCCCTCATCATTATGTGTTTACAACCAGACTATACTATGGTAGCATGAATAAATTAACAAAGATGTACAGAGGATTATAAAGATTTTTGACGGATGTACCACGCCCTGTAGTCGAAGCTTTATGTGATAGAATAATTAAACTTTGAGAGATAAAAAAATATCCAGAATACAAGTGGTCGCTAAATGGATCCACCAACAGAAAATCTATATGTTTCGCAGTACAGTGATAGGGATTGTACGCAATTATTTTTATCCTTCAAGGTCTCATCACAATTCTTTAAACATCCATTGTTGCTAATGTAATGGAATACGGTCATAATACATACTTGAAACATCCACAGACAATTGTATTCGTCACTATTTGCATCAAAATAGTTACCAGCCATTATACCTGAATGAGTGTGGGTTTGTATAAAAAGAGTAGAAAATTAACAGTCCTATTATTTATGTTTTGTTCTACAGAAAGTACAACATATAAAATTAGAGGCTAATTTTGAATATATATATATATATTTGTTTGATCTAAGATAAACATCGGGTATAAAGGGTAACATTCTAGTACAAGTGTAATCATGCGAGAAATAAACATACCATGCATTTTCTACTTTCTTATATTAGTATAGTATTATTCAAAATTGATCAATTATTCTGATTATATGCACTATTCACATAAGTCAAGAAAGTCCATAAGTTGATTTCATTCTAGTTGCCTTTGTTTCTTTGTCATTCTATTGAGAATATTATCCCAGCTATGTTTGTTCTCCTACTTTTACAAAATGTTAAACTATGTCACTGATCTGCCAAGTAGCTGTTCTTAATTTTGAAGTGATAGACTAGAGGAAAGGCAACTAGTCAACATCACCACCGCCAATTCTTACGCTACTCTATCATCAAATAGCGGGATTGATCGTGACGTTATAACGCCTCCGTGGCTGAAAGATTTTTAACCACTAGGCAATCTCAGAACAAACGAAGAAAGAAAAGTTACAATGTAGACCTATCAAATCATCTCGCATCTAAGTTTTTAATTGTATGCAAAGTTGCAAAAATAACAGAAATCCGATAAGTGAGAAGTATTATTATTGAAATAAAGCTAATTCAAAGGCGGCTTCATTATATATTCTATTCTCTATCCAATAAAGAGAACATTCAAAGTGAAAACATTAGTCTGGAAATGTATGTGAAAAAATATTATCCTTATTTGACACAGCTTTGCTGACAAAGTTCGATAAGAATAATTTGAAAACTTGTGATAACAGTTTCTGATGAAAGGGAAAATATTGGTTAAACGATTACTGTTTCAGACAGTAGTTTATAATGAACTTAGGTTTTTTATAGTAATTTGTGAAACAATTTTATAAAAGCCCCTATACTTTTAAAATATTCATGTAGAATGATCAATAAAAAAGTGAAATATCATTAAAATTTGCTTTTGGTAAAAAATGTAGCTCATAATCCTTTAAGAGACACATTACTCATTTCAGTAGTGAAATGGTCAAAATTATAATGTATTAATAATGAGAATTTTTAGAATATTCCGAAACGTATGATCTTGTGCATAATTTTCTAAAATAATCGAATTAAAAGAAGTAAGTATTTAAAGTGTCTTACAATCGTATGGATTCATGGTGGGCCTTTTGATGACCTTTACTTAATAGTCACCAGTAGATTTTTACGTCCCATTTAACATTTCATTGATTTTTACAAAATATTATGATGGAATACAGGCACCTCATCATTTATCACCCAGATAACCTTCAAATACGTTTAGTATCAAGCAACAAATCTTTGGCAGATCAAGGATATCTTTTAGAGCAATATGAAATTTATAATTGTTAATGTTTTTCTTTTTCAGTCGCACAGAATCTAGTCAAATTCTGGTAATTCAATTAAGTTGTTCCGATAAAGCTATGAAACGTATATAAAAAAAAAGGAAAATGTTGAATGTTTAATTATGGTTTGTTAGAGGAAGTTCTGTTAAAATTGACTTGTACCTTAAGAAGAAGCAACAGTGACTGAAAAAATTCACCCCCCCCCCACTCCCAAAGTAACTTCTTTCTTTTCTTCAATGTTTTAATGAGTATACTTTTTAAAACACTTGGCTGCAATTCCTTAACTAGCACTTCAAAGTCCTGACACAAGACGATTTTAGGTCTTGAACAGTTTGATACAAGTAAACAAACCATAGTATTTTTCAGAACAATTCTTGAATGTGCCATCAGGATCATAAGAGACTAATACTGAAAAATCACAGCAAGTGAATGTGTTTAATTTACTCTTTAATTGAAACCTGTTAAAATATTTAGGCAAAAAGCAATGATCACTTAAAATTTAATTTACAGTTAACAATTAAAATCTTGATTAGCCTATCCAAACGTTAAACTTAAATATTAAGAATGAAGAAATTTGTTTTTATTTGTTCGTTAGTCGTTAAGCGAAAAGCTACACAATGGTCTATCTGTGCTTTGTCCACCGAAGGTATTGAAACCCGAAATTTAATGATAGGCCCTCAGACGGGAGGGGGCAAGTTTGTTTTTAATTCTTTCATTCCTATGTATAATTTTAAAGTGTGTGTAAACTTGGCATCCGGGCGATCCGGCAAACTTCACTCACTTAACCAAATGTTTGAAATATTCATCGCATGTCGAATTTGGATCAGCTAGATTTTAAGTTTTCATGAATAGAACTGACCATTATAAGAAGGAGATGTGGACATATATATATATTTGTTTACTCTCAGCTGAGATGTTCTATTCGTAAACGAACTATAACTGAAATTATTATATAAAAACTGGTACAAAACAGACGTTATTTCTGGTATAAGTAATGTCCGTCAATTTCTTACTTTTATATAATACTACACGTCTTACTTTATCGAGTGGCAAAAAACAAAAACAAATTTCACACGTTTTTTACACATAACATATATTTATACATTTATTTTATTACTACTCCGTAACAAAGTAACAATATCAATGATTAAATAAATAAATTGAAGATACCTATACTGTGAATGTATTTGTATGCCATCTTATGTGAAGTATAGAATGATCTATTTGAAAAGAGTAAATTAAAATTCCTTTGTGCTTTTAAAACTTTAGAGAATCTAGCAGTTTTAGATGCTTTTCTGTTCGGTTTGGGATGATTAGATGCGAAGTATATCGATAATAATAATAAAATGAATGCTCTTTGTTATAGAAATATTATAATGAAAAGTTTTACTTATGTATTTATGCGAACACTACGATTGTGTTACATAGCCTTCACCAGATTCATAATGTTTTGTTGTAAACACATGATTAATCTACATGTGTAAGCTATTCGCAATATAGGCGTGTTAAAACACATTTAAGCTTTAGTAAGTTTAGTTTGCTGTTTTGTCCTACTTACCCCAAGGTCTCGTGTATTTGTGAAAAGATTTCTTCACCATATACTGTTGAAAGGTTTTATGTACGGTAATGACAGCAACATTAGTGTCAAGATTATCATCAAGTGAGAAAACAGCGATGTGAACCAACCTGCAAGTTCTTTTTTGAAATTTTATTGATAATAACAGATTCAAACACCAAGGGTTATGTACATATTGCCTAAAGGACTCATAATATTTTATATAAGAAACTAATTTTACACACTTGCAGTATTTAGAATGACTTACAAAATGTTTGAAGATCTTGCTGGCCTCAGAACCGGTGTTATGTTAATTATTGTTACTAGAAGTTCTAAGTGATGTCTAAAGCAGTGATTCTCAACCGGTGGGCCTGAAAAATCGTAGATATGAGCCGCCGCAGGCTGGTACAACTGTGACTGCCCTAAATTAACGAGTCATTAACTGCATATTTGGGCCTTTACCACTGTGCCAAATAACTAAATGGGCCTTGAAGTGCCAGAAGTTGACAAACTCTGATATAAAGTGTAGGAAATGATTCATTTTTGTTCTTAATATAACATTTGACGTTCTTATAATAAAAAGGGAAGAAAAAAATTCAATAGCATAAAATAAATAAATTGATGATCTTGACTACAAAAATCAATCTAAAAAAATCACTCACCAGTGAAGATGCCAATGGTGAAGTACAGAAATATTACATTTGGAGCAAATACGCTGATAAACAATCCGAAAGACGCTAAGATCGATCCGGCGATGGTTACAAGACGACAGCCATATTTATTGGTGAGGGCACTTGCTATAGGACCTGTACAATTATTTTAAAATATTTCATAACAGAATTCTTAGTTATGTCTTTTATCGTTACAATCACAAGGACCTAGTTCGATTAAGATGTGTTTTCAATTACGAATAAAGCAAGAAATGTCCCATTAAGAGCTTTAGAAAACGTGTAATTGTATTAAGAAGTCTAGGCCAAAGATAGAGAGAGTTTACCCAATAAACATTAAAAGTAGATATTAAAACTCGATTAACATATTTTTTTCATTCAGTTACCCACGTTATAAATTTAAAAATATTAACATTTATTTTGTAATTTTAATTACAGTTCGTATTCAATAAACTCACTTATGCATTTTCTGTTTGTTTGTTATTAACACAAAACTACACAAGGAGATATTTGTGCTGTGCCAACCACAAATATGGAAATCAGATTTTTAGCGTTATAAGTCCTCAGACTTACAGCTGAGCCACCAGAGTACTTATACATGTATGTATTTATCTACAGGATAATTAATTAATTTGGACAATTAATCAAGTTTGTATTACCATTTCGCATTTATTGAAATGTATCTGTATATATATACATATAGAGGGAGAAAGAGGTAGGGAAGCATTTTTTTCTCTGCTTAAGAAAAACAGAGGGACACTACAATTCATCTTTTATAAAGTTAAGGGAAGGAAGGCTTAAAGCACAATAAAGTAATTTAAACTCATCACCAACTTTAGATATTGATGAATAATCTTAAATCATTAATCACAAGAATTTTGTGAACGAGTTGTGAAACAAACTCGTGAATGCGACGATTATGAATATATTTTGAGAGAATATATCACCCTAGCTTCGTCAGAGCCGAAATAAAGCATCATAAAAATCAACTGACACCACGAAAACTGTGTTCAAAATTTGCAGGCATGTGTCTTATAAAATCATTTTGATTCCAGGAACAGAATTACATATTGATAAAACAAGTTAATAAAATTCAACGAATAAAGGTCTCTCACTCGTAATCTTTCATTAAGTTAACACCCCGGATTATATGTACATAATATATATATATATATATGGCAACATACCTACTGTAAAGACCATGCCAACCATTATGGAAGCTACCCATGCTGTCACTCCTTTGCTTTCACGAAAATATTTTAGAAATTCTACGTAGAATATTCCAAAAGTATACATCACACCATCAGCTATTACATGGATCATGAATGATGAGAAAACCACAACCCATCCCCAGCCTCCATCTGGTGGTAAAAATATAGTTTCTCCAGAATCGTCAGAATCAGCATCTCTAACTTCATTTGATGGGGACAATTCTTTTGTTTCATCTTTTGCCATTTGCCTCAGATAGGACAGTTTCAGTTTATACTACACCATACAGACTGTGTTATAACTTTGGTTTAATGGTTGACCTCACTAAATAAAGTTTGACAGGTGACGCTGTATTTACTTATGGATGTTTATCGTTTCCATCTTTAGCGAATGATATTAGAATGTACTACGTTGTTCTCAATCGGTCCACGACGACGTTATTAAAACGGCGAACTCCATAAATATACCTATAAGTGGAATATTACAATTTAGGATTTTCAAAATGATCAACAAAAACTACAAATACTTCGTATTAATGACTATTTAAACCAAGGTTGATGTCTCGAAGTTTAAAAACACGCTTTATTCAACAGTTATAATTAAGTTAGGACTATTTATTGGATCCATGAATTGAACAAACTAAATTACATATAAGAGAAGCAACTTTTTATGTCCTGAGATAACCTTTCATTAATCATGAATTTACATAACTTCCGTCCGGGGGACGGGTACTCCAGCTAGTAATAAATATAATTGCCCCGGTGGCTAAGCGGTTAGCTTGAAGACTTATATCGCTAAAATTTGGAATATTTGGTTTACTCTGTGGACGCAGCCCAGATAGTCCACTATACAGATTTGTGCTAAACTAACAAGATATAAAAAGTCGTACTAAAAGTTGAATTATATAAAGTAAAAAGTACAAGAAAAATAAAACAGATAATGGTTTTAATACAAAAAAGGCAGAAATAAGAAAACGTTATACAACTACAGTTTTGGCATTAGTAATGTAATTAACACAACTGTAAGTAGGTGTATTGCCTTCTTCCCACACCTTACACTACAGCCACCTCCAGTGTTATTATTTGTTTCCTTAAAACGCTTGTTCTGTTTCGTCAATATATATTAATTGTTTATATTTATTTGGATTTTAAACAGTAAATAACGTTTTTCAGGGTTTTGTACAAACTCTAAAGGTCTTTGCTCTTTCTCGCAAACGTAGTTTGATAATTTGGTTCATATACCTTCCCGTTTTGAAATATTTGGCTTCATGAAGTGTTTTGCATAAACTTGCATATATCACAACGTGGATGATAACAATGATAGCAACCAAGAGGTTTTGAACCTAGTAAAACTTAAAATGGACTAGCATGTCTTTTAAACTTGATAAAAGAGGACAAACCATTATGGGTGGATTTTAAACCACAAACACATTGACATTTAAATTTTCCTTGCACAGAAAGTTGGCAGGATGTCTCGGGTTATTCTAGCCATAACATTTATACTAAAGTCAAAGCCCTTTCCCGCATATAAGAGGTGTTTGGATATAACAGTTCTGGCCCTTTTCATTTATCTCCCTTTACTTCAACATGAAAAACCCCTACTTCACAATTGCTTTTCGAGTTTTTATAATTTGTTTAAAAGGTTGTGTTAAGGGTAAGTGCACCACAGTTTCAGAATTAAACAGTAAGGGAGGTTATGTGTTCGATGTAAAAGACGTTAGTGGAGGGACAAAATATCGTCAGAGCATGGAGGCCGTAATGCTCAAATGGAAGAAAGCTGATTCCACTTCATGGCGTCTCTGGTCTAAATCCAACGGGAAGATCACAGACCGATAAAGGAACTTGCAAGTTTACCATACATATTTGTACTTACAATGTAAAAAATTTAACATATGATGGTGACCTTGGAAGGTTACTGGAAGAGATTAAAGAAATGAAATGGGACATATTGGGTCTAAGTGAAACTAAAAGAATTGGAGAAGGCCTAGTAGAAACGAAAGGAGTATGAATATATGAGGCGGGGAAGACAGAACAAGATTAACAAGCGAAAGATGTATCCTTTGTCATCCATCCAAAAATGAAAGACTATATTAGAAGCTTTCATACACAATCGAACAGGGTGATATCCATAGATATAAATTTCGACGGAAAGGAAGCAATGACAGTAATCCAAGTTTATGCCCCAACATCTGACTATGAAGATGATGACATAGAGTAATTCTATGATGATGTTGAAAAGGTACTGAGAGAAAGCAAAGCAAAATACAAAATAGTCATGGGTGATTTCAATGCCAAAATAGGAATTACAGGAGACAACGAACCGTTTCAAATTATAGAAAAATATGGCATAGGTAAAAGAAACAACAGAGGAGAAAGACATATTGAGTTTGCAGAAAAGGAACAGTTAGTAATAGGAAACACTTTGTTTGAGAAACATAAAAGGAGATATTGGATATGGGAAAGCCCAGATGGAAGCACAAAAAACCAAATCGACTTCATACTGGTTAACATAAAATAAATCATGGACAATTGTGAAGTCATAACTAAAGCAGACATAGGAAGTGATCACAGAATGATGAGAACAAGAAATAAGATAAATAAAAGATTGGCGAGACTTAAAACTATACGACAGAAGAAAGCTCTCAAGATCAATATTAAGAAACAGATTTGGAATGTTAGAGGAAGACCAAGATCTGGATAACTTTTGTGAACAGCTAAATGATATTTTAGTTGAAGAAACAAAAAAAAAAAACCCAAAAAACAATAGGTTTTCAAAACAAACTTTAAACAAAGATGAGGAGTATGAGCTTGTAAAGAAAATGAATGGCAGAAGAAAGGAATTAAGATGAACAGAGAGGCAGACCATACAAGATAAAGTTGAATATATTGAGTTAAGAAAGATAGTAAGGAAGAAACAGAGCAAACAAAAAGAAGGAAAGAAAAGATTGAAAATATCTTAAAATCTGGTAGAGGACCTAAGCGTATCAATAGAGGGGTTATAAACAGGAAAATATGCTCAATAAAAAACAAAGGAAACTCCACAAATGATAGAACAGAAATAATTGAAATATGTGCATATTTTTACAGAGATTTATATACCTCAACTATTAAAGATGAAATAGGAACAGAAATGAATTTTGAGAACAACAAAGCAGATAAAACAGAAGTCCCTAAAATTTTAGTCTCGGAGGTGGAGAATGCATTAACTGAGATGAAGAGCAGGAAAGCTCCAATAAACTATATAATCACCAATGATATTTTGAAAGCAGGTTGAACTGAAACATTAAGGCAGATAAAAAAATTGTTTAACAAAATATTGGAGTCAAAAAAGATACCAAAGAAATGGAAAGATGCTAAGATATTCATTTTAGACAAGAAGGGAGACAAGCAAGATATAAAGAATTACCGCCCCATAAGCCTATTTTCTCACTTATATAAACTATTCACAAGAGTACTACAAAAAATATTGGAAATAATTTTGGATGAACATCAACCAAGATAATAAGCTTTAGGAAAAACTTCTCAACAACAGATCCTTTACGTGCAACTAACCAAATAATAGAAAAATCAAATGGATACAACTTATCTTTATGTGTTGGATTTATAAATTATTAAAAAGCATTTTACTCTGTAGAACATAGCGCACTATTAAATGCTTTTGCTACAATAAGCGTCAATCTAACGTACATTGAAATCTTAAGATATATACACAGACGCAACAGCAAACATGCATCTTCATAAAGAGGTATCATCACTGATAAAGATATAGAAAGGGGTGAGACAGGGTGATTCAATATCTCCAAAACTGTTTACAGCAACTTTGAAGTACTTAGACAAACTGAGTTAGAGAATGAAGGTATAAAAATGGATGGTGAGACATTAACAGATCTAAGGTTTGCAGATGATGTAGCTTTCTTTACAAATTCAACAAAAAGATGGAAGTCCTATTAAACAGTTTGAAAGTCAGTGGCAAGAAAGCAGGATTAACAATACATAGGGGAAAACCAAATATATGACCAACTATCATGAGACAGATATCATCAAAATTGAGAAGGAAGAAATAGAAAAGTGTCAGAATACAAATATTTAGGATAAACCCTCAAAATGGAAAACATAACAAGAGAAGAAATTATGGTAAGAATAAAGGCAACATGGCGATGTTTTGGAATGTATAAAAAAATTCTAGAGGATCAAGATATCCTCATGGATCAGTGTGTACTACCAACCTTACCGGATGGCTGCCAAACATGGACACTAACAAAGGAGATAAGCAAAAAGATAGAAACCAAATAAAGAGCTATGGAAAGAGAAATACTTCCCATAACACTACAAGACAGATGGACAAATGACAGAATAAGAAAAACAACAAATATAATAGATGCAATAAGGTTCATTCTAAGAACTAAATGGAAATGGACTGGGCATGTAGCAAGGTATTCCGATAATAGGTGGACATTAAGAACAATGGAATGGCGACCTAGGACAGGGAAAAGATGTAAGGGAAGGGAAAAGAGAAGATGAAGGGACGATATAGTGGCGGAAGCAGGAATCAGATAGACATGGTCTGCTAAGAATAGGAAATACTGGACTGGTCTGACGGAGAGCTACATCCAACGAGAGATGACTGCAGCTTAGATAGATAGATAGAGAGACTGGTGTGTATCAGTCGACTTTATGTAGAAATTTGTCACAGTTTTGCTTGTTAACACTTCAACATTCAAGAACGTTTCTTCTTCTTGAAACCCACAAACAATATAACAAAGGATGATCAATAATTGGCACGCAGCTGCACAATAAACTAAGCCTACTCTGTCAACTGGTATTTTTTTTTCATGTCTACTATACGTCTATAGCGTATTTGTACACTAAGATACACTTCATACTTATAGTCCAAATGAAGTTATAGTATAGTTCAGTGGAACTTTTAGGTAACCTTGCACTGGAGGTCTCACAATGGTTCTTTGTTGATTTTGTATCTACAAGCTATGTGCAATCAGAAAATGGAGTATTTCAAGCTGGCACCCTTGGGCATTTCTAAATAATTGCTGTTTCAATGGTAATTCTTCTCCTCATTTCAAGCGTAACTGTATGGATACAAAAGTGATAGAACTACAAGTGACAGAATGTTGAATAAACTGTTCATTTCTAGGTTTTTGGGGACAAAAAGTCTGGTGGCATCGTTTTATTGATTGGAGACGTATTTTATACTCTTATGGAAAGTCTGACAAAAGAATTATGAACTTTCTCGCAATGAAACAAAAGCCTAAATATAAAAATTATAAACTGAATGTCATTTATTACATGGATTTCTTACAAAACACTTCATGCTTTGTTACAAAACTTTATATTTATACAACATTTGTGATAAGTCAGTAAAATTATTATTAAACACTCAAAATAACAGCAGAGTGAACACGTCAACCGTACAACCTTAAATTTATAAAACTTCAATAGCTGTATACTCCACG